ACAACACAGGCCATTAGACTTTCAAGCAGCTGTGACAGGTGCCTGAGCAGGAGCTTAGCTTGGGACGCTCCAGCCCGACAGGGCAAGGGGCATTGTGGAGGAGGGCGATGGGGCTCTGGGTGTTGGAGCCTAAGAAAGGCGAGCAGGGCAACATGTGGGAGCTGCCCGCAGCGGCGAGCTGGCGGGGGTCCCGGGTCAGGGGCTGAGGCAGTGAAAAGGGACCCATGTGGCGGAGGAGGATCCGGCACATGACGGGGGAGGGAACGACCGGTTAAATAAGTAAAAGAACTGAAGATAATGAGGACAGGGTTCTTACTGTCAGAGGAAGGAGTTTACAGATCCAGAAAGAGAGAAAAATAGAATGAACCCTCTGGTATTGAATAAGAATTAAAGGTACAGAAATGAACTCATGGTTTTCAACATATGCAGAAAAATACAGATGAGAATGTGTGTGTGTGCAGATACATGTATCACCCACAAATACTCCTTAGCTCTGTGCCCTGAGAGTGACCAGAGCAGTAACACCTCAACAGCAGTGAGCACTCCCAGGGCCAAGGTCCACTCTAAAGGGAGCCAGGGTTCCTGGGGAAACAGCCGATTCTGGCTGGGGCAAGGAGGGAAGAAGATGAGCCTGGAACACGTTCTGGCAGCAAGGAATAGTCCTCAAAGGCTGATGGAGACATGTCAGAAGGGCACGAAGCCAGCTTGAAGGGGCTCGCACTACACGAATCTGGGATGGCCTGAGCATCAACACGAGTGAGGATAGTAACTGTGATAAGGCTCCATGAATCTACACTGATACAAGATACAAAAGTGAAAAAAATGGGAAATTTAATGAGGGATAGTCTCAGGGTACCTTCTACAGAATACTCATTACAAAGGGGAAAGGAGCAACTGTAAAAAGGAGTTGTCTGGCAGACACTCTCTCACTGGAGTGATCAAAGTCAATGTCACCAACAGGGACAGAGCAAACGTGGGCACCACCGACCAGCCGCTGCGTGACAAGAGGCGTCGCCTCATTTTGAGGATGTGCAGTGGAAATCTAATCACGAGGAGACACCAGATAAGCCCCAAAGGTGGGGCCTGCCTGTGATCTTCCTGACGGTCAAGGTCATGGAAGTCAAGGAAAGATGGGGGCTTTGTCACAAATGGAACAAGACAGAAGAGATGTGATAATTAAATGCAACTTGAGATGTTGACCTGTGTCCTTTTCAAGGATGCTATTGGGACAACTGGCAGAGCTTGAGGATTCCCGGTGGTGGGTGTCAGTGTTCCTTTCCTGACTGTGACAGTTGTCTTGTGGGGAAACAGGACAATGTCCTTGTCTGTTGGAAACACGCTCAAGTGTGCAGGGGTCATGGGGAACTGTGGCAGCAACTCACTCCCCAATAAAAAGTTCAGGGAGAAAATGTATTACCACTATTCTTGGAACATTTATGTAAATCTGTAGTTGTTTCAAAGTAAAAAGTTAAACACATTCACCTACTACTGTGGAAACAAACGAATATATGCTTCTTCTTTTAAAAGGAAACTAAGAAATATGAATCTCCCTTCAAAGAAAGGAATCGACTTTTAGTTAAAGAAAACTATGAAGCAAATCACTTGACACTTAAACTATTTTGTTTATTCAAGCAGCAAATAGACTCTACCTGTGTAATATGCAGTGGTCCTCACGTCAGGGCGTTGCTACCTTCTAATCTACATTAGGAAATTTACCTGGGGACATTTTCGGTTGTCACAGTGACTGGGGTGTGTCACTTAAATTTTGTGGGTGGGGTCCAGAAATTACAAATGTTATAATGTGCTTTATAGTTTAGACAGAAATTATAGAAACATAGTATTATTAGTATATTATACTGTATTGTGCTATATAAAATACACAAGATAAAGGAGAGTAAGTATATTGTAGTAGAGCATGAAGAAAGAATTGTTCCATCCCAACATGCCAGTAATGTCCCTTCTGGAAAATACTGAACTAAAGAATACGAAATATTTGCAACCCAGGGAGTTAATATTTGTTAATTAAATTGAGCTAAAGTTGCAAGTAAAACTAAATTTTACTCTCTTCTTAAAAAAGAAAAAATAAAGTTAAACAAACACAAATGGACCTATGAGAATGAATGTAGACCACTCAAGCTACCAAAGGCTTTTATGAAAAAGGAAAGTGGTGGTAGAGATAACAGGTAAAATGTTGGCTTCCATCTGGGTTAAGGAGGGACGCCATGAAGATCCATAATGAGATACTTCTTGAACTCATATGGCTCCCCAAATCTGCTGTCATCAAACAAAGAGTCCTTAAAATACAAACAAGTATAAGAAACATCATGTCCACCGCAATGAGAAACCATTTTGTACCCAATAGGATGGCTATTATCAAAACAAACAAACAAACAAGCAAACAAACAACCCAGAAAATAACAAGTGTTTAAGAAGATGTGGAGAAACTGGAACCTCACGCACTGCTGGTTAGAATGTGAAGTGGTGTAGCTGCTGTGGAAAACAGCCTGGCATCTCCTCAGAAAGTTAAATATACAGTTACCATGTGACCCAGCACTTCCACTCCTGTGCATACACCCCAAATAACTGAAAGCAAGGTCTCAAACAAATATTTGCACAGATATTAGCATCATTATTCACAACAGCCAAACGGTGGAAACAACCACATGTCCTACAATGAATGGATAAACAAAATGTGGTCCATTCATACAATGAAATATTATTCAGCCTTTAAAAGGAAGCAAAATCTGACACATGCTACAATGTGAGTGAACCTTGAAGACACTGTGCTAGAGAAATAAGTCAGACACAGATGGACAAACACTGCATGGTTCCACGTATACAAGGTACTTGGAGCAGTCACATTCATGCAGACAGAACAGTGGTTACCAGAGGCCAGGGGAGTGGGGAACGCGGAGGTAGTATTTAATGAGTATGGAGTTTCTGTTTAGGAAGATGAAAATGTTGAGGAGATGGACAGTAGCGAAAGCTGCAGGTGTGAATGTACTGAATGCCACTTAACTGTGCACTTAAAAATGGTTAAAGTCGAGGGGGAGGGTAGAGCGCGTGCTTAGCATGTACAAGGTCCTCGGTTCAATACTCAGTACCTCCATAAAATATAAATAAAACTTAAAATTAAAAATAGATTAAAAATGATTAAAGTGGTAAATTTTATGTTATATATATTTTAATCCAATAAAAAATATTCAAACTGGGTAGTGGGGAGGAGAATGTTACGTCCATTATAGCATCTGGGTGAAACTTAAATGTAGGTTTAAAATGGAATTTCTCTTTCAGTCATCAGATTAACTACTGCAGGCCAGCACCATACCCATAGCCTTACATGTATGAACGCACAGTCTTCAGTAACCATGATCTAGGGTTTATCCATGTCCCAATTCACAGAGGAGGACTTGGGACAGAGAAAGGTTCAGTCACTTGTCAGGGTCATGTAGCCAGGGGCAAAGCAAAATTCAGACCCTGTCACTGCTCTCAGCCATTGTCCTCGTCAAGTGCATGTCAATGTCACCCCAAAACTGTGATCAGAAAGAAACATACTTTTGTGTCACATTTTCATTTTCCACAAGCCCCAGCATCTCTGAAGTGCCATCCTCCACAGTGACACACAGCATTCAAACAGCTGATCTCAAGAGACCACTCAAAGAAATCAAGTGACAACCTTTTTCTTGACGGCTTTGTTTTTTTCAAAAGAAGTTTTAAATATTTTGGAGGGGAGAGGGATGTGTTTATTTATTTATTGGTTTGTTTATTTATTTACAGAGGTACTAGGGATTGAAGCCAGGATCTCTGGCATGCTAAGCGCTTACTCTACCACTGAGCCAAACTTCCCCTCCCTCTCTTGATGACTTTGGTTTCAGTGATGTCTTCATCTTATTTGGTGGCTTCTCTTGTAAACAATCTTCAAATTGTTATTCACCTTGACCAGGTGACCAAGGTCAGCACCACCAGCGACAGGACTTACTGGCGGTATACACCTCCGACATCATGTGCGCAGAAGGACACACCACTGCTTCTGTGGGACCGCGCAAAGATGCACAGCTCCAGTCTAGTCACGGGGGAACAATGGACAAACCATGCCGAGGGACACGCTATAAAATGACTGAGCAGTTCTTGGCCAAAGTGTGAAGGTCCTGGACGATGAGGAACAATGGAGGAAACGTCACAGGTTGGTGGAGACTAAGGACACATGATGACTAAATGCAACGTGGGATCCTGGACCAGAAAAAGGACATTTGGGACAAAAACCTTGGAGATTCAAGCAGGGCCTGTTGCTCAGTGACGGAGCATCGTACCCATGTTAATCTCCTGGTTTCAGTGATTGCACCACGGTTCCGAAGGTGCTGTCAGTAGAGAAAGCTGGGAGAAGAGTATACGAGAACGCTCTGCACTAGTGTTACAACTTTTCTGAAAGTGTAAATTCATTCAAAATAAAAATATTTTTGCGGGGTGGGAGGTAATTAGGTTTATGTATACATGTACGTATGTATGTATTTTTTTAATGGAGGTACTGGCGATTGAACCCAGGACCTCATGCATGCTCAGCATGTGCTCTACCACTGAGCTGAAGACACCCCTCTAAAAGATTTTTTTTTAACAAAAGGCTTTGCCTTGGCAGAAGCTTCCATGGGGATTACTCTGGATGCTTAAAACACACAAAACAAAATGATTATTCTGCTTTCCTAATCCTGTCACCTCAGATCCTTTTATAACAACGGAAGGCCTGGTGCTTCAGGTCTTGGACCCAGACTGCAGTGCTTGTTACTCACTGGCAGCAGGATTTCCCCGTGACGAGCTGCAAAATAAATGAGTGTGATACACCAGAAAGCAGGGCTCTGACAAGGCAGGAGCAAACCGTCCGCCGCCAGAGAGGGGATGTGATGAGCAAGATGGCCCATGACGCATGTCAGCGCTGAGCCAGGACCAGAGGTGGGAGGTTGTTGTGATCCTCAGTCTGCACAGGAAGTGACTTCTCAATGGCCTACCTGTCTTTTCCTTGATCTCACAGAACACACTGAAGAGAGCAGGTTTCATCCGATGGCAATTCAGAGCATGTTTTCTGAAAGAGAGGCGACAGAGGAGTATGTGAGAAAGAGTTATTCTGTGCATGAGAGTAAAGGTCTTCTATACTGAGTCTGCCAGGAGGGACAGCACCATAGCATTTCAAAGGAATTCAATTTGTACTAAATTCAGTGGGGAGGGTATAGCTCGGTGGTAGAGTGCATGCCTAGCATGCACAAGGTCCTGGGTTCAACCCCCAGTACTGCCATTAAAATAAAATAATAAATAAATAAACCCGATTACTTCCCCTCAACCAAAAAAGAAAAAAATTTGTATAAAATTCTAATAGAGTAATATACAACTATTTAAAACACTTCCCTTTAGACAAAGAAAACAACGCAAATTTAAATAATGCAAATAACTCATCAAGAGCTATTGAAATCTCAAGGTCCAATAATCTGAAAGCTGGGTTCACACTGTTACCAGATAGCAGCACTCTGGTGCATGAGCAGAAGTCCCAGCCATCCTATCCCAGTGTCCTGTGACATTAACTGAGCAGGTGGTTAGTGAGCAGCTACAATGGGCCACGTACAACCCCAGTGTCATGGAGACACAGACAGATAAGGTTCCTAGTCATGTGGCAGTCAAGATGGAGGTGGTGAGAGACACCACACACACACAAACACACACAAATGGCAAGTGTTTTGTGGTGACTTAAACTAGAGTGATGGCCAGAATGTTTATGGGAGTTTGCATGTCTCTAAGGTGACACCAAAGCCAAGATCAAGGTGACAAGAAGTCAAGCAGGAAAAGGTCTGAAGATAGTAAATATTTTGGCGGAGGGAACAGCCAGTGCCAAGGCCCTGGGTGAGAACATACTTGGCTTTTTAAGAGACCAGACTGCTGTAGAGTAAGGGGTTACAGAGAGGCATCTGGGAAGTTAGAGAGGCATTGTATGAGTATATTTTGTTTATACATTCATCAGTTGACGTGACATTTGGGGCTGACTGGAAAAGCTTTGTAGGTCAGGGGAATGACTCTGGCTTTTGTTCATCTGTGATGAAAACTGTGGTTGGCAGAAGAATGGCCCCCAAAGATGTCCAGATGCTAATCCGCAGAACTACTTACAAGGGAAAAAGAACTCTGCAGGTGATTAAAGATAAGGACCTTGAGATGGGAAGATTAACCTAGATTATACAGATGGGCCCAATCTAATCCCATGCGTCCTTCCAAGTGGACAAACTCCCAACTGTGATCAGTGAAAGAGATGTGACCACATAGGGTCAGAGATACCATGTTGTGGGCTTTGAAGATGGAGGAAGGGATTATGAGCAGAGAAATGCAGGCGGCCTCAAGAAGATGGAAAAGGCAAGGAAATGGACTCTCCTCTAGAAGGAAGGCCCTGCTGACTCCTTGAGTTTTAGCCCAGTGAGAGCCATGTTGGACTTAGAACCTACAGAAATGGAAGATAATAAATTTGTGTGTGTTTTTTTTTAGTTTTTAAATTTTTTTGTGTGTTTTTTTTGAGGGGGGAGGTGATTTGGTTTATTTATTTATTTACTTACTTTTTAATGGAGGTACTGGGGCTTGAACCCAGGACCTTGTTCACGCTAAGCATGTGCTCTACCACTGAGCCTCCCTGCCAAATTTGTGTGGTCATTTGTCACAGTGGCAACAGAAAACTTACACAGGAAGCAATGGAGGATTTTACAGAGTGGTTATCACATGACATGTATTACATTTTTATTACTGTTGGTTTTCTTAAGATGTAATTCAAACACCATAAAATTTGCCTTTAAGCGTATATACAATTTGATGGCTTTTAGTAAATTCATGATGTGCAGCTATCACCACCACCTAATTTCAGGACTCATCACCCTAAGAAGAAACTCTGTTCTCATTAACAGTCATTCCACATTGTCCCCTCCTCCCACTCAGCCACCACTAATCTGTGTCTACAGATTTCTCTTCTGCACATTTCACATAAATGGAAATCATATAGTATGTGGCCTTTTATGACTGGCTTCTTTCACATAGCGTGTTTCCATGGTTCGTCCAAGTTGTTGTGTATCAGGGCTTCATTCCCTTTATGTGGCCAACTAATATTCCATTGTATGAATGTATTTTGTTTATACATTCATTAGTTGATGGACATTTGGGTTATTTCCGCCTTTTGGCTATTATGAACAGTCATGTACACATTTTAGTGTGAGCACCTGCCTAGGGAAAATGGTTGGGTCATACGGTAACTATGTTTAACTTTTTGAGGAAATATCATACATTTGCATAGTGGCTGCACCATTTTACATTCCCATCAGCATATGAAGGGTCCAATTTCTCCAAATCCTCACCAACATTTGTTATAGCCAATCCAGTGGGTGTGAGGTGTGAGTGGGTGTGAGGTTTTGATTTGCATTTGTCTAACGGCTAGTGATGTGGTCCATCTTTTCGTGTCTTTATCAGCCATTCTTCTTTAGAAAAATGTCTATTCAAATCCTTTGGTCATTTTTAAGTTGGGCTATTTGTGTCTTTATCAAATGTTTTTATCATTGAGTTGAGTTGTAAGAGTTCCTTATATATTCTGGATACTAGACACTAATCAGATGTATGATGTGCAAATCTTTCCTCCCATTTTGTGAGTTGTCTTTTGACTTTGTTTATAGCGTCCTCTGAAGCACAAAAGTTTTTCATTTTGATGAAATCTAAATTACCTATTTTTCTTTTCTTGCTTATGCTTTAGGTGTCATATCTAAGAAATCATCGCTTAATTCAAGGTTACAAAAGTTTATGCCTGTGTTTTCATCTAATAGGTTTTTTAAAAATAGGTTTAGTTCTTACACTTAGGTATGCCACCCATTTTAGTTAATTTTTGCACATGGTGTAAGCTAAGGGTCCAACTTCATTCTTTTGCATGTGGAGATCCAGTTTTCCCAACACCATTTGTTGAAGAGACTATTCTTTACCCATTAAATGGTTTTGACATCCTTGTCAAATAGTCGGTTGACCATAGATGTGTGGGTTTATTTCTGTACTTTCAATTCTATTCCACTGATCTATCTGCCTATCCTTAAGTGAACTACATTTTAAGAAGATCACTGTGGTTGTCCTCCGGAGCCTGGACTGGAAGGCAAATGTGGAACCAGGAACACCAATTTGGAAGCTACTACAGCTGGAATAGTCCAGAAATGCTGCTGGCTTAGTTCAGAGTTATGGTAGTAGACACAAGAAGTAGATACATCTTTGGTTTGGGGAATGGAATCAACAGAACCTCCTGACTAACTGGTGGGGGGTTTTAGGGAAAGAGGAGATTCAAGGATATCTACAGTTTTAGGCCTGAGCAACTGCATCCATAGAAACACCATTAACTTCAACAGGGGAGCCTGGAGGGCAGCAGGTTTGGGGGAAGAGGGTCTAGAAAGGAGGCTTGTGCCTTGATCAGATTACACTTGAGATACCTATGGGTAGCTACCCAAGAGGAGGTATCCCACACAGGCAGCTGGCACATGGACACAGACCGAAGGCTGGAGAGAAACAATGTGAAGACAGAGTCCTGGGCAGAGAGAGGGCACTTCAAGCCACAAGCCTTGAGGGAATCACCATAGGAGAATGTAGGCAGAGAGGGGCCTGGGGCCCAGACTTAGGCACATTGCAGGGGTCAAGCAGATGAGAAAAGCCTGTAGGGGAGACTGGGCCACAAACTGCCTGTGAGGAGGAACCAGGAACAACAGTTTCAAGGAAAGAAGAGTAATTTGTGAGAAGTGCTTCTGTGAGATGAAGCAGGAAACTACCCCGGAAGAGACCTTGGATTTAGCAACATGGAGGTCACTGGTAACTCAGCAGCGGGAGGAGAAGGTTGGGAGACTGTGGGTGGAGATGGGAGAGGAAGTGGAAGTAGCGACCACAAACTCTTTCTTGACATTTGATCACAAAGGAGAGTAAAGAAATGCAGAAAGTGCTAAGAGAGGGCGTGGGTTGATCCTGTTTTAAATTTTCTGTTTCTTATGATGTCTTGACATCCAGGGAGACGGTCCTTCTCAGGGCTAGCTAAATCCAGATACAGCAAACAGCTTGTCAGAGAGTGTGCCTTTCATATGCAAACGCAAATCCAAAACCTACACTCTTCCTTTATCTTTACCTCCTTATCTACCTTTAACTACATCCTTTAACTTCAGCACCAGCCAACATCCCCCTCAGCCCTAAATCACCCCAGGGCCAGGTACAGACAAGAAGAGGTCACTCCCTAGCCCAGAGCCTGCAGAAATTATTTAAACTATCCAACCCTAAATGTGCTCAAATTGTCTACCTTGCCTCCCTGGAAATCACAGTAAGGGCTCCAGGCCAGGCTTTCCCCTCGCTCCTTCTGCCTCCTAACTTCCCCACGTGGCCCTGTCAGGGGTGGCCTGCCTCCTTCTTTCAGGAACTGTAAGTGATAAACTCTTCTTTCAAAGTTGTCTCCTCATCTGACATCCTATCATACCTGATTAAAACAAACCCCAGGTACAAATCAGGACAGGGTGAGTCAGGGGAGGTTTTTGTTTCTCTGTGTGTTTTTAAAGATAGGAGACACCAGCACATGTTTAAATGCCCAAGAGCCAGTCTAGGGAGAGAATTTGATCATGTGAGAGAGAGAGCATGAAGGTAACTGCAGTCTCGATGGTGTGTATACCTGTCAGAACTTCAGACAACAGCTCTAATGAGTACTATGCCATTATTTTTAAATTGACGATTATTATGATTTTAAATCCTGTAATGCAGTCATCCAAGCATCCATTATTAAAAGATGCTGCAAGGGCCAGGTAGTGTACCTGAAAATCAGTTAACTTCATGGAGGTTCAGGGTGATTAACGTCATGAGAAAGGTCAGACATCCACCACAGCCGTTAATCTATGGGAGGATGTCCTCATTTCCAGGTGCCTTCCGAATTCACCATGCGTCCCTGTGGGAGGCCCTCCAAAAGGCTAGAGTTGGGGTGCAGAACTTAGATACACGTCTCTGAACCCCAAATATGAAAATGTTCATGCGGGATGAGATTTGGTGTTCTGTAAATTGAAACCCAAA